TCATCGGGACACCATCATCATCATCACCATCCCATCACCATCACCATCACCATCACCATCACCATCATCATCATCAGCAGCATCATCATCATCATCATCATCATCATCATCATCATCATCATCATCATCATCATCATCATCATCATCATCATCATCATCATCATCATCATCATCATCTCATCATCATCATCATCATCATCATCATCATCATCATCATCATCATCATCATCATCATCATCATCATCATCATCATCATCATCATCGGGATACCGACGGGACACCAGCGGGACACCAGCGGGACACCGCGGGCAACTGGCCCCCGGAAAGGAATCATTTGGTCCAGCCGCGCCTCAGCCGGAGGCGGGACACCGGCGGGACACCGCGGGCCACCGGCCCCCGGAAATTAATCATTTGGTCCGGCCGCGCCTCAGCCAGAGGAGACTTTCTTCCCGCCCGCCCACGCAGCTTCGCCTCGCCCGCACGCACGGCACGCACGGACACGAAACCGAAACCGCTTTCCCGGTAGAGGGGCTCTCCGTTCCACTTCGATCTCACCCCCTCACCTCCGATTTGTGAATGTTCCCCCTGTAGAGGGACAGGCCCGACTTCATCCTAAGGGGAAGCTCCTCCTGGGTCCACCCGTCATGGCGAGCCTGGGCGTTCCGGGGCACGCTCGAGCCACGAGAAGATCACGAGGGCTGCGCTTGCTGGCCGCAGGGGGGGCCCCTCGAGGCCGTAGTTCAGGGGCACGCTCGAGCCACGAACAAAATCACGAGGGCCACGCTCGCTGGCCGCAGGGGGGTGCCCCTCGAGGCCGCAGCGGGTGCCCCTTTGAAACCGTGGTGGGTGCCCCTCGAGGCCGCAGGCGGTGGCCCTTGAGGCCGCAAGGGGGTGCCCCTCGAGGCCTGTCCCTCTACAGGAGGAGAATTCAAAAATAGTCAAAAAAATAGTCTGGGGAAGATTTCCTTTTAACTATTTTGGATCATGCGGGAGAGTTTTTCGGAGTACTTTTCGCGCTTCGCCCAAAAATCCCGCTGTAGGGGGACACGCAGGGGGTGCCCCTCGAGGCCGCAGGGAGGTGCCCCTTGAGGCCGCAGGGCGCCGTAGTTAGGGGTGCCCCTTGATGGGGGGAGGAGGCGGGGCCCCAGGGAGCGGCGCCGGAGGGTGCGCGCCGCGACGGCTTCTCTCCGCGGGCCCCTCGCCTCGGCGCCCTCCGTCGGCGCCGAGAGGCACGACGCGCCCGAGGCCGCACGCCGCCCGCTCGACGGTGTGCGTGGGGGCGATGCCCGCCGCCCGCAGCACCGCCCGGAAGCGGCGCGAGGCGGCGGCGAGGCGGCCCTGCTTATCAGCCTCGAACGTATCCCTATCCCTAAGATTGACACGCCCAAAGGCGATGACAGTCTTAGGGATTCGCCCTCAAAAAATAAGGGAATCCCTGAGATTGGCATCGTGATGAGGAGGTGCCCAGCCTAGGGATAGGGATACGTTCCAGGCTGGTAACCTGCATCTCCCCGAAGCCCAGGCGACCAGACGCGAGCTGCCACCGCAGCCAGTCCGTGTCCGAGGCCAGGTCCAGCAGCGCCGGGGGCGGGGCCGGCGCCGGGCCGCCGCCGTCGTCGCCGCCCGCGCCCGAGAGCCGCGTGACGGTCATCCAGTCCTCCACGCCGGGGCTGGCGAACTCGCGCAGCGCCACCAGCTGCGTGGCGCGGGGCGCGCCCGGGCGGCAGAGCCGCCAGAGGTGGACGGGGGCCCCAGGCTTCAGCACGTTGTCCGCGAGCACTGCGCACGGGTAGTCCAGCAGGCCGAGCGCCACCATGCGGCCCAGGTCGGCGTGGAAGCGCGTGCCCCGCTGGTCCATGAAGACCATCTGGAACGCCCGGGGCCCGTGGCGCTCCCGCACCAGCGCCAGGGCGTCGTCGGTGTGCCCGAGCTGGACCGACACCGCGCCGGACATGCCAGCGAGCTGGACGACGACCCTGGCGATGGCCGCCAGCACGGGATCCATCTCGACCGTGACCACCTTGCCGCCCCACGGGCGCATGCTCAGGGCCATCCGCACGGCCGTGTAGCCGACGTAGGCGCCGCACTCGAGCACTCTGGCAGGCCGCATCCCGGCGATCGCGGCCTCGATCACGGCCGCCTTGTCGCCACCGGCGACCTTCAGCCACTTCTCGCGCGACCCGTACTCCTCAACGCAGGCCAGCACTGCCTCGGGCGAGGCTACGGCGCTGGCGCATGGCCGGCCGCACTCGCGCAGCAGCGCCCGCAGCAGGCCCAGCTCGCGCTGGTAGGCGCCCGCCAGGGCCGCGGCGTGCGGACCCCCCGCCACCCCCAGCGGCGGCACCGAGGGCAGTCGTCCAGGCGGGCTGTCGTCACCCAGCGCTCCGCGACGGCCCTGCACGCGGCCGGCTGCAGCCTCGCGCCCCAGCGGAGGGGGCGTTGCCGCGAGGCGCTCCGCGAAGCGCCACCAGTGCTCGTCCGCGTGCTGCGCCGGCCCCGC